TCTATGTGAACTTGAGAAAATATTCATGTATAGAACACTGTTACCTGGGGCTTGCTCTGGTTCCCCTTTTTCCAGGCCTTGTGATCTCTGTCAAAAGAACAAAGCGCGAAGTGCAGAGGATGGGCGGAGTTTATCCCTAGGTAAAGTGGAATATCATAAAGGCCCTAAGTGGCCAGAGGGACCACTGAGCCAACCTACTGCTTATGTTGGTTTTCTATTCATCCAAACAGCCATTCTGAGGGGGGCTTTCCTGTTTAAGGGACTGGCAGGCCCATGGGAAGAGACTCAGTGGTGCGGTGCAATGACATGCAAAGGGTCCTTCTAGTTGTCTCAGGACCTCCAGAGCAGCTCGGACCAGCATGCCTCTTCCCACCCCCCCAGGGTGAGAAGACTTAGACCTCGTTCTATAAAATTTATGAACACACAATATGTTTACAGTACATATATATCCTTGCATGCATTTTGTGCTAAAGTTTATATTGATTACAAAATTTTTACTGTTATCTACCTTTTTTTCTATTTTACTTTTTAGACTATAGATTTCATTTTACTGATTTTTGAGCTATTATACAGAGTAATACAAAGTATTTAGTGTTAAAATGTTATTATATCTTTTGTTCTCATTTATTCCTCTCTCACACACATATATTTAACTTTCTTTTTATGTATTCTTTGTGCCTTTCACACCACGCATCTCAAACCCATTCGTTTCACATCCCAACTTATCTGCCCTCTGCCCTTGTAGCCTCCTGCCCCAGACAAAATTTGAGCAAAAAGAACCATACTCTTTTATTTTTTAAATATTTTTATTTTTTTAAAAAAGAAAACAAACTATCTTTTTTCATTATAGATACCAATCCAAGTTTCCACTCCCTCCCCTCCTCCCATTCCCTCCACATACCTTCCCACCCCACCCCATTCCAATCCTCAGAGAGGGTAAGGCACATTGCTTTGGGGAAAGTCCAAGGCCCTCCCCACTATATCTAGGCTGAGCAAGGTATCCATCCAAAGAGAATAGGTTCCCAAAAAGCCAGTACACGCAGTAGGAATAAAACCTGGTGCCACTGCCAATGGCCTTGGAGTCTGCCCCAGCCATACAACTGTCACCCCATTCAGAGGGTCTAGTTTGATCCTATGCTTGTTCCTTTCCAGTCTCACTGGTGTTTGTGAGCGCCCATTAGCTCACAAACTAGGTAGACTGTTTCAGTGGGTGTACCCACAATGGTCTTGACCTCTTTGCTCATATTCTCATTCCTCCCAGTCTTCAACTGGACTTTGGGAGCTCAGTCCAGTGCTCCTATGTGGGTCTCTGCCTATAGTAGGAGGTCACTTGTTTGTTTCCCGGACGCCCAAACTCCCGAAATAATCACACAGAAACTGTGTGATTAATTAAATTAATTAAATAATTAATTGAACCACTGCTTGGCTAATCACTTAAGTGTATTGCTAGCTAGCTCTTACATCTAGAATTAACCCATTTCCAGTATTTTATATTTTACCACGAAGGTTGTGGCCTACTCAAGGTTCTAGCTGACAACTTGTGTTTTTCCCCTCTGGCGGCGGCTATATGGTATCTCCTGACTCTGCCTTCTTTTTTCCAGCAGCTTAGTTTTCCCTGTCTACCTTTATTCTGTTCTGTGCAGGCCCAAGACAGCTTCTTTATTAACAAACGGTATTCACAGCATACAGAAAGGAATCCCACACCATCTCCCTCTGGTGGAGACTAGCTATAAACACAGGATATTGAGCCTATAGTTCATGATCCTAGAGAAACTAAGAAATAAGGTATAAGTTGAAATAGACAAGATTGCCTGAAAAAATTGGGAGCATCGGGGTGGGGGAGAAGGGAGGGTGGAAGGGGAAGAGGAGGGAAGAAAGGGAGGGGTAAGGGAGCAGGATAGTCAAGATGGAGGAATGACAGGGATTAGAGCAAGGAAAGAGGTACCTTGATTGAGAGAGTCATTATGGGGTTACAAAAAACCTGGCTCTAGAGAAATTCCCTGGCCTCCACAAGGATGACCCTAGCTAAGACCCTAAGCAACAGAGGAGAGGGTGCCCGAACTGGCCTTGCCCTGTAGTCAGACTGATGATTGTCTTAAATATCACCATAGAACCATACTCTTAAAGAAAGCTAACTTTGCTCTTAACAACTATCAGTTACTGACAATTCCTCCACTAGGGGGTGGAACTTCTTGTTCACCTTCCCACTCCATGTTGTTACGATCTTTGTGAGTTCGTGTGTGCAACTGCTCTGTTGCGTCTCTAACACACAATTTCTGCACAGTCATTCACGGTGTTTGCTTCTTACGACCTTTCCAGCTTCTCTTCACAGAGACCCCTGAGCCTGAGGAGGAGGTGGGTGTGAGAATGATGAACTGCAGAGATGGCTCCGTTGATACTGTGTTTGCCATGCAAGCGTGAGGACCTAAGTATGGACCCCCAGAGCCCCAAATCTGGGTGGAACAGTACACTCCTGCAAACTCAGGGCTGAGGCTGGGGAAGACAGGCCGATCACTACAGCTCACTAGTTACTCAGTTATGCTGAATTGGTGAGTTCTTGATTCAGTGAGAGATCCTTTCTCAAAAATTATGATGGACAGCGATCAAAGATTATAGCAGGCATTGACTGAAGATCTTCACACACATGTACACAGAGACATGTTGTATAGAATTCTTGAGAAAACCAAGGAAGGCCTGGAGAATGGCTCAGTAGTTTAGAGCACTGGCTGCTCTTCTAGAGGACTCAGATTCTATTCCCAGTACCCACATGGCAGTTCATAACCATCTGTAACTGCAGTTCCAGGCAAGCAAATTCCCTATTCTGACCTCTGCTGGCATTGCACACACATGCTACACATACATATATGTAGGCAAAGCATCCTTCACACTCACACACACACACACACACACACACAATAAAATTTCTTAAAAACTGAAGAATTGTCTTTAGCAGCATAGCAGTATACCTTTTTAAATTAGTTTTATTTTGTATATGAGTGTTTTCCCTGAATGTGTGTGTCTGTGTATCATGTGTGTGCAGTGCCTATAAAAACCATATATATATATATATATATATATATATATATATATATAATACTTTTTGGCTATTTTATTGTAAATTCCAAAAAAATCCACTTTTTCTTTTTTATTCTTGAACATCCCTTCACTGTCTTTTGTTGTTGTTGTTTATTTGTGTTCTAGGTAGAGCATAATAGCAAATGATAAATAAATGCAGTTTGAATATTGATTAACATTTCTATTTATGTTGATGAGTAAAACAGAAGTGAAACAAAAACCATGTAGGTCAGAAAGATGTTTATCTGTGACTTCTTTGTCAAATTGAATGTTGTCTTACATTGGAAGGGATGTTTCTTCATAATTCATAATATATGGCTTCTGTTTTCATATAACTTATGTTTCTGTAACTTTGTGTTCAACAATAGCTGGGTTAGAATTAAGAGTCTTAAGACGCTGGGGGAGTTGGGATGAAATAAAATGGGGTAGGTCTAAATTCAGAAGACCGCAAGATATTTTTGGACTACATAGAGACAACTCCTTATGTCAATTTAAGGTTATTAAAGTTATTGACGAGGATCGATAGCTCAATGAGGAAAAGGGGTTGCAGAAAGTATATGTGCACCTGCTCAGAGAGGAAAGAAAGCAACGGGCACCGAGAGCTAAGTGTCGGTCAAAGCTGAAAGCAGCAAATGTTCTGTAAAAAGATGGAGGTGAGAGCTACGCAAACAGAACACACTATTTCCTGCCAGTAGGCTGTCTAAACTAGACACAGAAGCTAGCAGTGAACTGCGCAAACTGGGCAAAGAACAAGTATTAGGAGAAGCAGTAAATATCTTTAATTAGATATACAAGTTTTCCTATTACAAAAAAGGGCTATCCTCAGAGGTTAAAGAATCAAAGGGCATCAATAACAAGCAGCATTGGATGGAGTCAACTGAAAAATACCTCAATGTAACAGTAAGGTTCCTACCGAATAAGCCATGAAACCACAAAGATAAAAGCAAGGTAATAGAGAATACTACGGAGAAAATCCTGAAAATAAGTCAGTCATTTCTCAAAGGCATTCCTCATACAAATGAACACCAAACAAAAAATTATATATTTTTTTGATACCTGAAATGTCCATTGGATGAGGTGGCAAACAACTCTATTTTACTGCACATCTTTACTGAGCTCAAAATTGAGAATTGGAGGGTAATTTCTTACGGAACAACTCGATAGTATTTGATTGTCATAAAGAATCATGCTTCCCCAAATCTATTGTTAGGTGCAAAGAGGCAATCGAGACGATTTCAGAAGCTAAGAGTTCTTCCCCTGCAGAATGAGAAGAGAGGGTTGCATGAAGATCCTCGAAGGCAGCTTCTACCACAGAGAGTTTAAAATGTGGGTGTAGTAACAGTTATAAAACCCGGGAAGGCTGCGACATGTCCAAACTTTCAAATGCAAGTTACGCGGTAAATACTCAAATGGAATAAGTATGAAGCTTCCGGGCATCCGTAGTCCAGAGTCCGTGGACCAGGCGCCGGAAGTGACTATGCGGGGAGCTTCCCTTCCGGGTGGACGAAGGCTCGCAGGTCACAGGTCGCCGGTGCCCAGTCGGTCACCAGCCGCCCGGGAACATGGAGGCCGCGCGATCGGTGGGGCCGTTCGTGGTGGTGGGAGGCGGCATCGCCGGAGTCACGTGTGCCGAACAGGTTCGTGGGCGCGAGCTCCGCCCCTTCCGGACTCCGCAAGCCGGGGAACTGGAGGTTGCGGTTGGTCCCCTTGGGTGGTCGGGCTTCCGGCCTCTGCCACGCCCCTCCGCTGTGCGGCTGAAGCTGAGCGGGAGACTGCTACTAGTGGGCAGCATGCTGCGCTCGGGGCTCCTGGAGCGCTGGGGGCTGAAGTCGGCGGGACGCTACTCTCAGGGCTCCTGGAGCGCTAGTGCTGAAGTGGGCGGTATGCTGCGCTCGGGGCTGATGGAGCGCTAGGGGCTGAAGTGTGAGGGATGCTGCACTCCGGGCTGATGGAGCGCTAGGGGCTGAAGTGTGAGGGATGCTGCGCTCGGGGCTGACGGAGCCTTTCGGTTCCTGGTCTGCAAGACCCCGGGCAAACCCGAGCAGTGGGAAGTGCATGATTAACTGTTAAGCCAGAGCCAAACCAAATTCCAGGCGGAATGGTACGCAAACCGACAAGAGGCTTTGGTATTTGGACAGAAAATCCACCCATTTGTCTTATTTCCTTCACACGTGAAACTTAGTTTCTTGGTAGGTGCCAAGTCCTTAGTTAATAAATTAATTCTAATGTAGTACCTTGAATTTCCAAGATAAGATTTCATCTCCAGCAAAAGTTTAGGTCAAAGGACTACAAATGTAGAATTTCTGACTACGATAAGTAAGTGAATCGGATAAGTCGTATTACAAAAAGGGCTAGATTATTTTGTGGCTTAACTAACCACTTCAGTCGCAAGAAATAGTAGAAGAAATTTAAATACGTTGAGGTTTTAATCTTTGGAGGTCATCTTCTGTTTACCCACCTAGAGTTCTTATTCTAGGCAGTGTAATACGGTTTTAGCAGTTAGAGAAGAATAGCGTACTCCACGGTGTAACCTGCAGTGGAGAAGAGCATGACATAATTAATTTGAAGCTCAGGAGAGACAGAAGCAAGGAAGACTGCCTGGGCTCAGAATTTATAGGACTCTATGGCATGCTGAGAGTTCAACAAAAATCTCCAAACAAAAGGTTTTGAGCTGTGGCGAAAAGTGTTCAAATGAAAACAAGTGTGATTAGCTAGTGTTTGGGATAGTGGCAACCTGCTGACAGCTGTATGAGCCTGGAGGCTGACTTGTAGATGGTTCTCAGTAGGATAGTTTTGAGGACCTGATTCAGCAATGGAAACACAGATAGACTGCAAAATATGAAAAGTAAACAAAGATGGGGGAAAGATAATATTGTCAAATAGAGGAAGTTCAAATAAGCTGAGACAAAGGTCGCTTACGTGTCCTAAGGGCATGTTACATGTTACTCGGCTTTATGGGCTGTGAGGAATAGTAGGCAGAGAAGTAGAGTCCAAGATGAACAAGTGTTCCCCCTGCAAAGTGAGGAAGAAGTGGAGATAGTAAAACAACAGCACATTAAGTCTTTGCGTGTTCTTAAGCTAATGTTAACACGGCTTTGTCTTCCCTGAATATGTACCAGTCAGAGAGGGAGTGCCAAAGCTTTGGAAAACTCACGCCAAGATTCTCTGTAATATCAGAGACTTGTTTTAATTTTATCCTCGGTGAAGACAAAGTAAAAACATTAATTTAAAATAAGTGAAAACAGGCAGTTTGTAATAGCCACATAACTTTAAATTGGTATGTGAAATGAGTCAACCAAAGACTGCTGTAATGATTTTGCTTCTCCAGGTCTTTGTCCACCTTTAACATGCGTAGATTGTTTATTTTAGCACTGTCAGAGTTTAACAGTACCAATGCTGCACCATTATGAACTCAGAATAACCGATTTTCATATGTGAAACACTGAAGTTTTATTAGTTAGACAGCATTGTCATCATACTGACATCAATTCAGTAATAGCTGAAAATATTTTTTTATCCTGTTATTTCTCTTTAAAATTCAGCTGGCTGTTACCTTTCCTGAAGAGGACATTCTCCTGGTAACAGCCTCTCCTGTTATCAAAGCAGTTACAAACTTCAAGCAGGTGAGAAAAACTGTGGCTCAGTTTAATGCTTTCGAGATGTAAAATACTGCCCTTTCATTGAATTTGTTGTGTTAGGGAGAGCTGAAGCTTTTTCCATTAAAATTCTGTGTGTTCAGTGTATATTAGATACAGTTTTTTTTTAACTGAATTAGGAAATTCTGAAGTTTTTCATAACTTTTATCCCTAATAAGGTAAATATCACTATGTGTGGTTCACATGTGTCTCTGGGGTCCTTGTTAACTCAGAAAAATGTAAAAAGTTTCTGAAGACAAGCTCGAAATTACAACTCATACGATCATATTTTCATGCAATGTTTGCAGCCAGGTTCCAGCACTGACCTGTGGTCCGTCACACAAGCTAGGGAGGTTGAACTATACATGTTTCCAGATTTGTTTGCGGGTGAAGATAGGGTTGCAGAGAAGTAAAGGGTTTGGACAGAGAATGAAATACTCCACAGGAATCTAAGCCAGAAAGGACAGAGGGAATCCAAAGAGATAGTGATGGTTTTAAAGAACGGGGAAGAAGGATTTAAAGATGACCAAAAAAGTTACCTGGTAAAGAGAGCGGAGAAGCCAGAATACATTAAGAAAATACATTGACTGTTCAGTTAAACATCAGTAAAGTAAGTTGTGTTAGCTGACATTTTTAGAGGCAACAAACAAACAAAAACAAAAGGCCAAACAAACAGCAATAACAAAACCACAGCACAGTAGCGACAGGACAGTTGAGCTCAAGGCATAAGATCCTGACCCCAGTCCCCATTCTACTGTACAATGCGAGTGCTAATCAGCTGTCACCATGATAGAATGTCTGAGGGCATCATCCTCTGTCAAAAGTTTTATTAGGAAGTGTGGCACTTCAGGTTCTGTCAGTAGTTATAGAATGCCCACTGTGTCCTGGGTACAGCACAAGGTCTTGGTGTACAGCAGGACGAACACACTTGCTTGTACGGGTAGTCAGTACCATTGAAGTATGTTGTAGAACAAAGCTGCCTACTTCATATAGGCTGGGACAGAGAGGAGAAACCGAGGTCGCAATACTCTCATCTAAGGGCCTGACGTCTCTGCATTAGGCACCACCTCCTACCAAGACCACCAGGTCTTTAACTTGTGGGTCTTTGAGGGACATAGGTGCCCTCAATGCAGTGGGCTAACCTTCGTGTTTGTGAGCATGAAACAGTACTGTATAGGACAAAGGAAAACCTTCTTTAAATGTGCATTTCTTGTTTGATCTCGTAAAGGTCTCTAAAGTATTGGAAGAATTTGATGTTGAAGAACAGCCAAGTACCGTGCTGGAAAATCGCTTTCCCAACATTAAGGTCATAGAGTCGGGAGTAAGACAGCTGAAGAGTGAAGAACATGTGAGACTTTTTCTTGTTAAATGATTTTTCTTAATGTTAAATCCCAGGTTTTGTTCTGCTTCTTTTAAGCATACCTCTGTCATCACCATTGTTTAATCCCCTAAATTGTAGAGGCTAGTGGCATTGATCCCCATTGTTTGAGACTATACCCTCTGGGAAAGGTTCTCTGATGAGGAAGTGTGGCACCGCAGCGTCTGCCAGTAGCTGTAGAATGCCCACTGTGTCCCTGGTACAACAAAAGGCGTGGCAGACAGCAGGAGTACGCTTGCTCCTGTGAGTTGTCAGTGTCATGGGGAGTGTAGACATTAATAGTAAGTGATTGTATTATACTAGTGTGCAAGAGGCAAGTCATGAAATCACCATCAAAGCTCAGAGCTTTGATCTAGTAAGACCTCACAGAGGGTGACCTGCTTGAGCTTGGTGTCTTGAAGATGGCAAGCTAAGAGTCTTACAGGTAGAGAAAGGCATTCTAGTGGCTGACTCCGTAGCTCAGGGGTGAGAGCACTGGTCTTGTAAAAAGACACTACTCTAAGAACTGTAGCCTGAAGAAAGGAAAGGAGGATACGGATTTGTCAAAAGGATGAGGATGTGGAAAAGGAGGCAAGCATAGGTAAATAAGATTGAGTGATGTCAGGTTTATTTTCTAGTCATATGACATGGTAGATGTATGGACAATACAGAATTTTAAGTAAGATATGTCCAAGAATAATGTTGAAGTTAAACTGAGGCGGAGAAAGTAGCTCTTAGCTAACAACCAATTACAAACTAGTTGCAGTTGCCCAAAATGATGTAGAGCCTGGTCGACAGGGACACACGTGCACACATGAGGTGTGCCAGGGATGCTGTATCCTCAGTGGGCTTTAGGAAGGATGGAGAGAGGGGTTTGCCATTGTTTCTGTAAGCTCTAAGTTACTAGTAAAACATGATTTATTAAAAACAAAAGATAAGTGCCTTGTTTCGTGAAAAAGAACCAGAGTTCTATACAAATAACAGCAAGAATTATTTGTTATGGCAGATGTCTTACTTAGGGATTCGAATGTTATGAAGAGACACCATGACCATGGTGACTTTTACAAAGGAAAACATTTAGTTGGGGCTGGCTTACAGTTTTGTGGGTTTAGTCCATTGTTATCATGGTGGGACATGGCAGCTTACAGACAGACATGGTGCCGGTGAACGAGCTGAGAATTCTACATCTTGATCCCCTGGCAACAGAAACAACTTTGTACCACACTTAACATAGCTTGAGCAAAGGAGACCTCAAAGCCCACCCCTACAGTGACACACTTCCTTCAGCACTCTGCCTACTCCGACAAAGCCACACCTCCCAGTAGTGCCACTCTGTATGAGCTAATGGAGGTAAGTTACATTCAAACGGCTACAGTGGCACAGAGTTCAAGTAATAGCTCAGTTGTTTTTACAAGTGGAAGTGAGCCCTCAAAGGTGTAGTAAACAGGGCACTTACAAATCTGAACATCTCCCGGTGACGCCCAAAAGCCTCCCAAGTGTGATTCTGGTCTCCATCTCTTGTATGTCAGCTGTATGCTGTATGGGAATGCCGACTTTGGTCTCATACAGGTCAAGCTGTCCTTGAACCCGATTCTCTTGTCTCACCACTGAGACCTGAAACAACAGATGTGTCACCACCGTGCCAGCTTGGACTTTTTTATCTGTGTCCAAAAGGTTAGCAATAGCTAATTAAAAGGTTTAGTATTTTAAACCATTTAAATGTGAATCAGTTTTAACCTTAGTCAGTGCCTCTGCCTTCTGTTTGTCAGACCAAATTCTGGCCAGATTCTGAAGGGAGACTGCTCTGAAGTTTCTGTGTAAATTGAACGACACTGTGTTGGATTGTTGGGTTACTGTGAAAAGCACTGTGGGTAAAATAAAGCCTCAGTGTGGAGTGAGCGCTAGGATTGCCGGACCACAAACCGCACATCAGACTCAGAGGTGCGCTCACTCCAGTCCATGTTTTCACAGCGACTGCGACTTACCAGTTATTCACTTTCTAAAGGATACCAGTTATGCGTGGATTCTCATTCCACATTAAGGAACAAAATCAGCAGATTTACTGTGTACCTGTAGACTCACTGATGTTGATAGCATTAATAAAAAATAACTTGGAAGCCAGGATGTGCTAGCTCTCAAGCTTAGCATGTTTTTCATATGGATTAAAACAATTCTGTGTCCGGGCCTGGTGCACATCTGTGGCTTGAGCACTTTGGAGGAAAATCAGGACTTCAAGGTCATCCTCAGATACACAAGAACGTAGAGGTCATCTTGATCTGTATAAGACACTGTCTCAAAATCACAGCAAAAGCACTTTTTTAAAAAGTGAGCACATGTAAAATCCTCAATAGTAAAGCTAGTAAATACAAGCAAAACTTTTACATTTAATGATATAAATTATATATATATATATTACCATTTTATTTCCATTTTTAATATTTTATTTTTAAAAAGGCATATTATAACTTCAAAATGCACTAATCATTTGAACCCATAGCAGATGTTAAGATTATCAAGGTGTGATATGATTAGGATAAGGTCCTCTAGTAACTTTCTTCAAGATAGTACACACACACACACACACACATATACACACACACATATACATACATATACACGAACACATATACATACACATACGTACATACATACATATACTTGTCCCAGGGGGAAAAATGATCATTTTAATTTGAAGTCAGCTTAATCAAGAGATTCTGTTAATGCAGACCTCTTTTTTTCCCAGAGGAGGAAAGCCAGTTCCCATCAGACTCTCGGCAGGGATTATGACCAGTGCTCATTGCACTAGAGAATGTACACCCCCTCGATTGCCTCATAAGCACTGTTGTTGAAAAGAGCTGCTGTTTGTCCAGGCCGCCCAGAACCGAAATAATCACACAGAAACTGTATTAATTAAATCACTGCTTGGCCCATTAGCTCTAGCTTCTTATTGGCTATCTCTTACATCTTAATTTAACCCATCTCCATTAATCTGTGCATCACCGCAAGGTTATAGCCTACCAGCAAAGTTTCAGTGTGTCTGTCTCCAGCGGCAGCTCCATAGCTTCTCTCTAACACTGCCTCCTTTCTCCCAACATTGTTTAGTTTTCCCCACCTAGCGCTGTTCCCCCTATAGCTCTGCTATAGGCCCAAAACAGTTCCTTTATTTATCAGTGGTAATCACAGCACACAAAGGGAATCCCACACTCTGTCACTGAGCATCAGCTACCCATTTTTTTTTTTTTGTCTCAACTGTTTGCTTTTGCTTTTCTTGCTCTGTGTTCACAGTGTATCATCACAGAAGACGGTCATCAGCATGTGTATAAGAAACTCTGTCTGTGTGCTGGAGCTAAGCCAAAGTTGATCTGTGAGGGAAATCCATACGTGTTAGGAATCCGTGACACCGATAGTGCTCAGGTGATGTCTGAAGGGCGGGTCTACGAAAGGGAAAGAGGGTCCCTTGTGAATGGCCGTGCTTCACTGACGTTGACTCCGCACTGTCTGCACTGTCTCCGAGAGGCAGTTCCCACCCACCATTCAGAGGCCACAGAATGATTGTGTTTACTGTTGCCAGCTTCACTTTGGCTAATGATTACATGGTTTTAGCTAAAACTGACTCCCTGCTCTTTTGGCTGTGACACTCAAAGATACCAAGACCGTGCTGGGCACTACATTTTACATCAACACACATTCATCATTCTGTACTGGGAAAATGAGATTTTCAGCTAACAGTATAACAGTCATTTTCCCAGATTTCCCAGTAATTCCCCAGAACAATTAATAATAATATTTCCAAGATCGTTGTGACTGGAATTCCAGAACTTGCCTGAATTGTTGCTCTGCCCTATAAGAAGCAAACCCTCCCATAAGGCTACCTTTTCATGAAGCATGGCACAGTTTTTTTCACTATGACAAGGCTTAGCTGCTCTTGTTATCAAGAAGCTCTCTGGTTTCATCTCCACACCCAGCAAGGATGTGATTACACTGCATTTGTGTGATCCATATTGTTTATAAAGTGGTTAAAGATTTTCTTCAGGTGTCTTATTCTAGGGTAACCACTCAGTGCTCCCCTAGTATGGTTATTCTAGGGTGACTACTCAGTGCTCCCTGAGTATGGTTATTCTAGGGTGACCACTCAGTACACCCCAAGTATGGTTATTCTAGGGTGACCACTCAGTGCACCCCAAGTATGGTTATTCTAGGGTGACCACTCAGTGCACCCCAAGTATGGTTATTCTAGGGT